GGAAAGGCCCTTTGGCCAAACGAAAATTAAAACCCCCATTTGGCCAGAACCCCGGCCCCCCCCCCCCCCCCCCCCCCGATCTTCCGGCCTAAACGTGAACGAAGCGAGGGAGGGGCAGGGCGAATGGCAAAGGCAGAAAAACAAGCACAACACGCCTGCAATGTTCATCGAATAACGTTTCACAAGACAGGCAATACAAACGCGCAAGCTAATTTACGTACGCGACGAAAACTGCCCCTACTGTAAGAAGCTACAAAACATTCCGCCGGGACAACCATCCACACGCGAGAGCACGGCAATGGCGGTGCCCCCCCCCCGTCCCCGTCTCAACAACGAGCGTGTGTGTTTGTCAAACCAATGATCGATGTACTTCCATAAAATCCGATGAACTAGCACTATGTACTGCGGAAAGCTGCAAACGGGTGCCTCGGCCTCGCTCACCAGAAATCCGGGGTCTGGAGATGCGCTATCCTCTGAGCAGAGAAGAGCTCCTTGAAGGGGAACCCCACCCACCTTCACCCAAAAAACAATAAATCGCGCCAGGCGGTTACAGTACCAGAGGGGGCGAGGGGTGCGGGGGTGTACTCATGTAAACGCATGCCGTAGTCGTTGGGCGGTTGACCTCGCACCCCTAAAATGCCGGAACGGAGCAACAATGCCGTCATTTTTCCTTTGGGCGACATGCGCCATTTCCACGCATCTCCTTCGAGACAGACAGAATGATTAGTTTCCTCCAACTCGCAGAACCAGAGATGTCGCTCGGGTGTCCTGAACCTACGAATACGCTTTTTACAATACGGATTCAACCGATTGTCGTTCAGCTTACTCCAAGACGTGATGTTAGCAAAACACACACACACACACATCTTCCTATTTAGACGTGTGCAGCTTTCTTCGGCTGCTACCGTTTCTGTCTGTGATCCGGGGAATAGATTAGTCTCCCCCATGCCGCCCCCTCACGGGGTCCCAGCTAATGACATTTAGAAGCGTTTTGTGTTTTCAACTGCACTAAGACGGACGTCTTTTCATTGGTCAGCCGGTTAGCGCGGTCGATGCCAATAACAAAAAAACACACACACCACCGCAAGAAACGAAGAAACTAGTTGGCGCACAGCCAACAACGGGGCCATCATTCACGCACCAACACCAAGTCATGAGCCGCGCGTTTCCGCCACCAGGCGTTGTTTATCTCCCTGCTTGAAGATGCAAAACGCTCGCAATATATATATATATACCTGGAGAAGAAGGAGAACACAATAAAGTCCACGGAGGTGTAGGCCATCAGGCCAGCCGGCTTCCCCCAGGACATGGCCAGGTCCTCGGCATCGTCCGCCAGCAGCTTGATAGACTCCGGGTCCCGGGGCACAACGCCTTCGAGTCTGTTTTTTTTCAACGCAGATATGTGTTGTTGTGGACGGGTGTGTGTCGTTAGTTAGCACGGACCGCGGCTGGCCAATGAAAAAACGACAGTCTGGTAATAAATAGTACACGGTTGAGTGAGAAAACAAGGCAACGACAGAGAGAGCCAGAAACAAACAAACAAAAAAAATCAGAGAGGAAACGAAAAGCCCGTGCAAGACCCACGATCGAACATCCGGTTAGGCGAGGCTGGCTACCAACACGTACGCTTACAAACAATCGCTACTACAACACGAACAAAAAAGAAAGAGCGCGCACCTGGTCCTCTCCTTCAAGTCCCCCCTGCTCAACGCGTAGGCCATCAGCAGGATAGGCAGGCCGGTGTACCTCATCCTAGGCCGCGGCCGGGGTCTCACGGCGCCACCGGTGGCGGCGGTGGCGGCGACGGCGACGGCGGAGGACGCAAGGTACCAGGCCAGGGCGACCCCGACGGACTTAATCACCTTCTTTTGCGACGGGATGTTTGGGAGCAGCGAGCGTCCAAAATGGGGTGTGCATGTCTTGGGCGGGCACTGATCCTCCAAGAGTTTCTTGGGGTGAACACAGGTCGGTGTTGAAACACACACACACACACGCGGATCATGAGCAATGCTTCTCTTGGGAAGCACACACGCTGCCGCGTGTCGCATGCTATTGATGAGACTGGAAAGAGCAAGACGAGATCCGTAACTAGGAGCAAATATTAACATCGCACTTGCCGCGGTAGAAACAGGAGGCACGTAAGCTCCAGCGAAGGCACATACCGCGCCCAATGGTATTTATTTATTGGCGGGTTGCATACCGGTTTTTGTTAGCACGTTCTTCCGTGCAACAATGCACCTACGCTACAACTCCATCATATTCTTGGGTGAGAGTCTTGACCACAAGCGCGTTCATGTTTGCACGGGCGAGGATCCGTTGCGACGGCCATGCACCATGCACACGGCAGGCGGCCGGGTTCGCTCGACCATCTATGGCACCCAGGCGGCCCTTCAAGGTACAACAACAGCGGAAACGCGGCACTTACAGCAGTCAGTAAACCACGACTACGCACAAAGGACAAAGAATTTCCGCGGCGTCGCCACACCGCCGTGGCACGATGCCCGCAGTAACAGCACCGAGGCGCAAGCGGCGAGATTAGCGAACAACGTGGTTACCGTAGATGATGACACGAGATAAGATATGTACCGAATCCCCTGGACTGCCTGTTTCGATTTCTCCAAAAAAGAGTCGCGGTGCCGAAAAGGGCGGGCGGGCGTCGGAACCGTCTCGTCGAGATCTGTCCCAAGAGGAATGGCTAGAGCTATGCGCCCTCTTTGCCGTGGAGTAGAAATATTGTAGAGCTGTGAAAATGGATCCGGGGGGTGTGACATCTTGTGTCAAACAGCCCGTGCGGAGACTCCGGACGTTCTACCTCTACAAGTATGTAGTTGCTGTATCACACCGCCGGTACAGGGCTTTCGGTTTTCGGAGCAATTTTTGCGCTACAACGGCAGCAGTCTACATGTCCGTTCGCTGGCGGTTGCGGGAATCGATACGAAAGCGCTCCTTCATCTCTTGATGCTCCTTCTATCCAAATGTGCAGGTGGCGCAATCGATAGCAGCAGCAGCTGCTCGTTTGAATGTACTGGTGTAGCACTGCTGTAGCACGTTGAACCGCAGGCTGAGCAGATCAAAAGTCGCTCATTTGCAAACTACGAACACGTAAACTTCCACCCTTTCTTTGTACACAACAGATTGCACACCACGATTGCACACAGAGACTGCCCAAAACACACCCAAACACATCACCTTCTTCGCCCTGCCTGGAGCAACAACAGCCTTATTGTCTTCCTCAGCTGAACCATCATTCCGGCCGCCTGCTGCTGCTGCTGCTGAGATGACCATGTTGTTCACGGGCAGAACATCACGGCATTCTGCTACCGTGCGGCGCCTGCATTGCCGGGCGGCGGCAGGACGGGAGGAGTGCGCGGAGAAGAAAGCCGCCGGGTGCCTCGCAGAGCGGAGCGCCGTCGGGCGGACTGCTGCTGAGAAGGCGCTCGCTGGGCGGAAGGTGAAGCCGACAGCAAGGAGCAGCGTGCAGGCAACAACTGCAACTTCTTTGGGTTTGAAAAAAATCATCCGCTTGGCTCGATCGATTCGTCCTCTTTTGAAGGCGATTGGCTGACTGGCTGGCTGCAACGTCAAGACGTCGACTTAAGAGGATCTCTTGGGCGTGTGTAGTACGTGTGTCAGCAACGCGTAGGCAGCCGGCACGTGCCTCGTACTGTTGTCGTGTGCTGGCTCGAACAAAAAAGATCTTGATAATTAAAGGGGGCTCCGCAATATCGTGCAGCTGTCTGAAGGGGATATGCGCAGGCGCAACATTTCATGCGTCTTTTGTTCCACCAAAAGCAGCAGCATAGACAGAGCCGACCGAGAAGAGAAGCAAGGGGCAGACAAACACAGGCACCGTCACCCGCACTGCTTAGCAGCAAGCATGGACGGAGATGGAGACATCTTGGGCATGCGACGGCGGCCTGAACCAGCCCCACCGGCTGAACCAACAACAGCTGTAGCGGGTACTTCCGGCGCCGTTGCTGATGCGGCGCCCGCAGCAGCAGCGGCAGCTGCAAGGCATGCCGCCGGTGCTAGCCCGTTGAAAAGGCAGCGGTCTCTGGCAGCAGGGGCAGCGGCTAGAGCAGAAGGTCAGGTGAGCAAAGCGTGGTCTTCTCTCTGTGGTTGTTGAACGAAAGTCTACGTTGCCTACATACCAGTATTCAACAAGTTCAAAACTTCCGATGGTTGTTTCCTCCCCCCCCTCCCCCCTCCCTGTGCTACCTTCGACCTACATGCAGCAGTGGTGCTGTGTGAGCACCATGAGGCTGATTCCCGCCATAAATTGGATGCAGTGGTCGTCGAGCCAAATGGGAAGCCCAAGAGCGGTTCTTCTTCTCCGCCTCTTTTCTCTGCTGTGTGCAGTAGCGGGCGCTGATGCAGAACAACATCCCTAGACAGAAACAACAAGTGACTGCTGTAACTGCAGCGCGAGCGGGATCTACCGCAAGGATGCGAGAGATGGCACCTCCCCTACAGTAGACCGGCAACCTAAGCTCGTAATCCCCACAAACAAGTGGGTGCGAGAAGAGCCCGATACGTCTACGGAAAGCCCTGGACAACAGATTTTCATATTTTCCCAAAACCACCATTTTTTGGAGTTGGCACAAGCTTGCCTGTGGAGCAAGCGAGCTTTGAAGATCGGTCTACTTGAACGGGGGGTACCATATCTCGCAACCTTACAGCTATAATAGTGGTGCTCACGTACTTTTTTCTTGATCCCGAAAACTTATCCTCAAGGCTCAATTGGCAGGTGATACACAACGCCGGACGTTTGCAGTCTAAGGTTGTACACACGAGGGCACGTTTATTTCGTCAGCAACGAACGCGCCGGCCACCCCTCGGCCGGTCAAATGACGAAAGAGCGAGTAATGATCGATAGCGGAGAGAGACCACCGACAAACGCAAACGCGGAGAATATGTGCACGTGGTTCTTTTCAGATGGCGCCGACCGCGCTCCCTGTCCGGCTGACCAATGCAAACAAGCCGTTCCTAAAGGGACGAAAAACGCACACGCGCAGAATGCAGTTTCGAAAACCGCCTTACGTATGCATATGCATATATATGCGGTGCGTGTGTGGCTCCACTCCCATACATTGGGGTCCAACAAAAAATAATTTAATTATTTCGCGCAAAGCGCGAAAAAGAACGGGCGGAGAAAGAGATGCAGGCGTAGATAGATATATATATTGGATGGAGCCTCACAGAGAGGCCACACCACTGCTACTGCACACGCTCACACCTCACCCCAACACCACCGGTCAGCCGTGTACGCAGACTGCTGCTGTTTAGCAGCGCGGGGAAGAGTGAAAGTGTTGTGTGGTGTGTGTGGACGAAGCTCTCATGAATCATCATCAGCTGCTGCTGCTGCTGCTGCTGTCGCTGTGTGGATGATGTGCACCACTTACGCTCGTAGCAGCGGCAACGGGCTCTAAAAATCGCCCCCGACGACCTGTATGTGTGTGTGTATTTGGTCGCCTTGTCCTGCAGCGTGTGCACATGTCATTGTCTCTCTGTTTTCGGGCGGGTCTGTTGTGGATGGAGAGAAGATGGATCTGCCTGCAGACAGCCCGGCGAAGAATAGCCGCAGATTGGTTGACTTGTGTGCACTTGCTTCACTCGCTTATACGCTGCTAGCAGCAGGCAACGGGCTTCAAAAATCGCTCTCGATGCTTCGTATGATGTGTTCCTTTGGCCGCCTTGGCCTGCAGTAGTTTGTACGTCTCATTGGGTTAGGGATGCACCACTGCTGTGTAGCAAGCTCAAAAGATCGGCCTGCAGCAGCAGCAGCAGCAGCAGCAGCAGATTTGACCTGTGTCGCCTCCCTCGCTTATGGTGCTGCCGACAGCAGCCAACCGGCTCTAACAGTCGAACCCGACCTCCTATTATGTGTGCCTTTGGCTGCCCTTGGTCCACAGCAGTCCCGTGTGCTGCTGCCTGTGCTGGTTGTCTCGTGTGTTGTCTACGTGTGTCATGTGCTGCTGCTGCTGTGCTACGTCTTTCGGGGGATTCCCGCTCGGCGGCGTGGCCATCGCCCAACCATCTGTCTCTGTCCTACATAATGTCCTACATGGTCGACATGTGATTGGTGGGAGGACGGCATCACCCGGCTCTACCCCTCTAAAAATTCGATGATTTTGCCCTACGTATTGGTGCTGTGCCGTGTTTGTTGTACACTTGCAAGAGGAACGAAAAAACGCCTACCCACGCGAAGAACGCTCTTCGAAAATCGCCGCATGCCGTGTGTGTCGCTCGAACGCCACAAGGTTGTCGAGGGCGTGGCCGGCGAGGTGCCCGTGGATCAGCTCAACCCGGAACAGCTTCAGAGGTACAAGGCCTGGGTGCGGAGTCGGTTCGAGCGCGCCCCCATCCGCGAAGTAAGCCCCCCCGCCGCCGCCGCAGCGCGCGCGCCGAGCTTGTACCTCAGTGTGTGATCGCTCACTTTTTTGTTGTGTGCGAAGTCGCTTGTACCCCGTGGTGTAATTGTTCCGTCGATTGCGCGCTGATGTTTGTCGTGAGTGGGAAGTACGCTTTTATGACGCTCTGGTCTCCGCTCTATTGATTGGTTGCTTTTTGTTGTATTTCACCGCCACGCGGCGTTTGTTTCTTGGACGTTTTATTGCGGAACAATAGGTACTCATCGAGGTCATGGCGGTTTTACTGTGAAGGCAAACAGCAACGTCAACAAGTTTGCCTGCCTATCCCAACGACAACGACAACTGGCAGGCAACGAACACAAGATGTATGTGCGTTGTTCGCCATTGCTGCTGTCCTCGCGTTAAGCACGACCGTCGTGAGATCTAGCCGACCCCCACCTCCACATCATTCCTACGTGCTGGTCGACCCCCACCCCACCCCCACCCCCACCCCCACCCCCACCCCCACCCGCCGTAGCTCATTCTGGACCAGGCGGCCCCTACCCTCGTGCGGAGCATCGAGGGTGGGCAGGGTAGGGGAGTGGTGCAAGAGACGTCCACCATCGCCGTGGCGTCGATGGCCAAGCAGTTCGTCGGGGATCTCGTAGAAGAAGGTATGACGTCATACACATACATCTTGCCCTTTGTTTTTCGCCTTCCGTGTCTCACCCGACAACAAAGGGGTGGTTGGAACGCCCCCGGGCATGTGCACGTTAAAACGAGCTGTTCTTTTCTTCCAGAGAGTACATACAAATGAGAGATGAATAGCCGCGTGGCGTTTTGCACTTCGGGGAATGGAATGACATGCTGTGCGGATGGTAACCTTTCGCTACTCTTCAAGGGTTACCTACATGGACCAATGGATGCAGGGACAAAGCTCAAGGTCAAATTCAGGACCGGAGACATAGAACTTCGAGAACGTCGACGAAGACATAGGACGGTAGACGACGAAGACGACAAGTTCAAATGTGATTGCGGCTTCGAATGCGAAGACCGTGTTCATGTAGTCGCGGAATGTCCGTGGTACGAAGAGGAGAGGGAAGTGTACATGACTGAGCTGGGAAAAATACAAGGGACGTACAGGGAGATGTTTGAGGCATGGAATAGAGAGGAGAGGACGGTAGCTGTACTGGGGAGAAGGAAGTGGTTTGAAAAGGCGGGACGGGATGTCGTTAGGATAGACAGACTAGGGAAGACATTTTTGAGCCACCGTTGGCAAAGTAGGAAGGAGCGATTGGCCATCGGTGATCGGTCCTGTGGGAACAATGCTCCGTTCTCTCGAGGACGCGTGGTCAATGGTCTAACCGCTAAGGCATGCAAAACATAAGAGTACGCCCCCCCCCCCCCTCCCCCCATTCCTGCGTGCGTCGATCCAAGCCCGCCATGAAAAAATGTTAAAAACAACAGCCAAGCGTGGGCATCTATCCCAGAAAGCTGCGCACCATTTCTCCAAAAACAACATTACCGGAGTTTTAGGTGTCTGACTCGTGGCATTCTGAGGTTGCAATCTTCCGTTTATTTTGTTCTTTCCTGAGATACCCCCCCCGTTCCTTCGTATCCCAAGAAGCTGCGCACAACTTCTCCAAAACCGAGCGGAGTTTCGGGTCTCTGGCTCGTGGCATTCTTCCGTTTTTTCTGATACCCCCCCCCGCCCCTCCTTCTTGCACCGTCGCAAACCTCGTTATAAAAAACGCAACAGCGAAGCGTGCACAGCTGGAGAGGGGAGACGCAGGGCCGCTGAGACCGAGCGACCTGTTGGAGGCGCGGGAGACCCTGGCGAGGGATGGACGGGGCCCGCCGCTGCGATCGCCCACGACGCGCGACCGCGGGTTAGCGGGCGTGCCGGGCAGAAGCGGCGGCGGCGGGAGTTTTCTGGGAGGGCCGGGGGTGCTGACAAGAGGCAACCCTATATGATTCGAAAGGAAGGGGGTGCCGTTCGTTGTGGGTGCAGTACTGTAGGGGGAGAAAAGCGGGTGTGTCTGTAGCTGTGCATCGTGTGGTTGCGATGCCGAAGCTTTTTGTCTTTTTTTGTCCCTCTGCTTTTTTTTGTCAAATATGTACAAGTTCAACCAAAAGCAGCGTGTGTAAATCTTTCGATGGGTGTGGTGGCGTTAAGACTGCTGTACATGCACGCACTGCGATATAAATAGCGAGGTGTGTACATCGCTTACACGTTTGTACCTTGTGCATTTTTTTCCGTCACGGTTGTCGTGTTGTTCACGCTGCTTGTCTTGGGCACGCGCGGCGTACAAAATGACCGATTCCGGGTCCGATCGGAACACGTTACACGCAGGGTAGCACGCCTTACACGCAGTCGCATTCGTTCCTTTGTGCTGTATGTCGTTCGCGAAATGTTGCTCCCGTGGGTCAGTGCCACAGACGGCACCAAACGCCTGCCTGGAGGATCAAAATTCTACTCTTCAGAAGAGAGTCGACGCACAGGGGGGCTCCACGAAGGGGGAAGCAAGCTGCCCACGCGCTTGTTGCCATGCACATGTTCGTCGTCGTTTCGCCGCAGTTAGAAGGGACGTCAAGTGTTTCGTACGCGTGCTTGCGGTGCTTCCTTTTCGCAGCTACGCTGCATTGCGCTCCGGACTCTTGGTCAAATTTACGGCAGCACAAAGCCAGCCATGGTTGGACAACAACACTCGCGCAACAACAAGAACAACATATCTTTGTAGGTGCAGGGCACGGGCGGTCCTCCTGCCTTGGGTATTGCGTATGCCGTGGAACCGTTTTTTTCTCGTCGTCCCCATGCCCGTGTCGGGGACCCCCACCGAAAATGCCAGCGTTTTTGACCACAGGCAACAGCCAAACGACATCAACAGGTTCTACTCGGGTTGTTTGCTCCAGGAGGAGCTACCACTGCTGCACTGCTGTACACGATGAAGCACAGCTTCACAACATGGAAGGGGATACAAGTAGTAGGCAAGGTTGGATAGTGAACCACACCCGAGCAGTAACAGTTCTTCACCATTCTTCACCATCAGGAGTTGCGTCGAATGCACGAGAAAACGTATTTTAGGCGGGGAAACGGTACACACATGAATGGACCCCAAAACAGCTGTCACCTCTGTTTCCCCTTCAACAACGGACGGCCTCACGGAATATGTAGCCTAGTGCCACTAGTGAAGTCTTGCCGGCAGTTGCCCCTTAAGCCTAAGCAAGCACAAAAACCACGTGATCATCGGTGGACCAGGGATTTTCAACCAACCAGAAATTTCCTAAAAAAGTAAAATTGACCCAACCAAAAAACTGTGGGCACCGCTTAGCTCTTGCTGGCTGTAGGCTGCTGTATCAGAGCCCACCTCTGCTCGTACGAGCGGTACGCAAATGCACAATCAATCGTGTTTGTTGCGAAATGTCGCCTTCTTCACACAAACAAACTAGTCTCAGCCTCCAGCTTCGTCACCTCTTCTCTCCCCCGCCCACAAGGTAAAAGGCACGGATTACCGTGTCCACAGGCTAGACTTCCACCACGAAATACACAAGGGTCCAAGGGATGAAAAAACAAGACGATTTGAAAACCCTTAAAAAGCATGGTACTTCGTCCTACGAGACGATAACAATCATCAAGCAGTCACGGTTAGCGGAGTGAATCTCCTGTAAAGGCCTGCAGGGAAAACACACCAAAGATCAAGAAAACCTGTGCATAGTACAGAACTAACAAACCCGTCCACCCGCCCACACTTAGAACGACGGAGGTAAAATATACAATACCGACATTCTATTGCATCCCGGCATCGTGACGAGGCTTTTCCAGAGGAAAGTGTTCGAGTTCCCCCGCCCCGAGATCTCGAACACTTTCGACTGGGCAGTAAGTCATGCATGTGTTCATGCACGCGACTGCAAAAAAAAAAACACCGTCGAACTGTGTCTCGACGCAAGTAGACATGGGGGCAAATAATCGCAAACAGGCGAGCAAGCCAATGTTGACGTTACAAGACACCGGGCCACCGCGGTCATCCCATTCCGAGACCGGGGCCGAAAAAAAGAAGAAGGAAGGGAAACAATTCGGTTTTTTCCCCCTCGGGAGGGGGGGGACATGTTTGGGCCCCTTGCTGGGGACATAGGTAGAATAGCCCCATTCCCACCCACACATTTTTGGGCCCGGCTCATTTTTTTAGTCCCGGCGGCCCCCCCCCCCCACTCTCTGCCTTGTCTACCCCCCTTTCCCCCTCCGCACTCTCCACTGCTCCCCCTCGTTAATAACGCCACCAACACGTCCTCTCCTACCCCCCCACCCCTCCCCCCCCAAGACGAGGAAAACGCCTCAACCCACACGCCTCAGGTGCAGGGAAAGCGTACAAAAATCAAGAACCACAATAGTGTCCATCAGATAGCGAGCGGCAAAGAGCAGTCACACCCCAGCTGGGGGCTGCTTCGCTTTTTGCCTCCCCTCCTCTCTCCTGTCAAAAGAAGGACAAAAACAAGCATGAGGACGAAATGGCAGGAGAAGACCTAAGGCCGACCACTGACCCTAAGCTAACGTTCCAACTCCCCTCCCCCCTCTAGAAATGACACTAAAAAGAGCGCGACCGGCGCCCTACCCGTTATATTTCCGTCCGTCCTCTACTTGCCGACGCCTAGCTGCCCGTCCGTCCCTGTGGGGCTTACATCCGCTGACATGCCGTATCATATCATAAGGTTCGGTCAAACAGATCTCCGAATGGCCCTACCATCCATGACAAGAAAAATAATTCTCAACCCTCCAGCCAGTTCTTTCGCCCCTTCTTTCATCGCCGGGTCATTGCCAACACGGCGGTCCATTCGTGGTTCCGTTCACGGTTCCTGTTTATGTTTTTCGTTTACGGTTCACTTTTTATATATTCCGTATAGGTTCGGTTCTTGGTTACCGGTTCCATTCTTGGTTTCCCTACAGGTTCCCATTTACGATCTGATTGCTCCGTCTCCGTTGCGCCTTCCGCCAAGCCAGAAGCTCCCACCAAGCATCACGTGATCACATCCATATCGGTGTCGTCAGTCAGTGTCATCGTCCATCATCAGCTCCGGGGGCACTTCCCCTGGCGGTTGGCAGGGGGGGGCGGGGGGGAGGGGGGTCAGTGTGCCAACGACTCGAGAAGGGAGAGACGGGAAGAATCTTCTAGGGTTCCACAACACAAGAGCCCATCAATTTTGCTGTACCAGAGAGCCATGTCACAAACCCATCATATGTACAGTATCTATAACAGCAATGCCGACCGCAGCAGATGGACCCGCAGCATCGACAGCAACAGCACCAACTACAACAGCAGCGGCGACAACAGCAGCCAAAACAATGACACGAGCAGCGCAGACGATCTACGTCATCATGACCACGATCTAACTCATAATTTTGTTGACAGCAGCAAACGATGAGACTGTTCGATCTACATCATCATCATCATCATCGTAACCATGATCCAAGCCATCATTGCCAATCGACAGCAACAACACAGAGTTGCATAGCAACAACCATAACAACAAAAACGTCGGCGATCTACATCATCATCATTACAAACGATCTGAACCATCATCGATCGATAGCAACACCGAAGGAAGCACGTGATGTGCTAGCTCCCACCGTCTGATTCTGCATCGACGGCTTCCCAGTGGTGAGGGTCCATCAAATCGAAGCCTCCATCGTCCCCTTGCCCGTCGTTGTCGTCACCCTCCTCGTCATCGAATGCGCCTATGCGCAGAGAGAGAGAGAGAGAGAGAGGGTTAGGGAGAGAGAGAGGGTTAGGGAGAGAGAGAGAGAGAGAGAGAGAGAGAGAGAGATTGACAGGCAGAGACAGAGAGAGGCAGACAGAGAGAAGAGACACAGAGAGATAAAAATAGAGACAAGGAGATTCAGCAAGAGCGAGAGAATCAGAGAGAAAGAAACAGAGAGACAGAGAGACAGAGAGACAGAGAGGAAATAAGAACAGTTGTAAGTTGCTGACTTCACACTAAACACCGTCCCGGTCTCTCCGTACTTCCTGTCCAACTCACGTAGACGACTACCTGACGTAGCCACGGGCTAGAAACAGCAGTACAAGTGGGCATACATCCCCGTCCTTGCTGACAGCCTGGCCACCTGTCGTGACAGGCAAGCTCACCTTGGTCGTCAGCCAACGCGTCGTACGCCTGACCTTGTCCGCCTGCCGCGGCCAGGTAGCGTCGGGCCAGGTTCTTGCGACCGTCGCGATCGTCCACACGGACGGTGGCCCACGGCATGTACTCCTTGAACACCGCGCTCACCTGATGGTCGTCAAAAAAGGGGTTACAGCAGTAGCGGCTACGGTTCAAGAGAGATGATGTAAGGGAAAAACGGATTTAAGAAGAGTGCTTTGGGCTTGTGCCGACCATGACCACTACACAGTAGTACACTTCAAGAGAAAAACGAATTTAAGATAATTTCGTTCGCTGCTAGTCCCAACCCTGTCTTAAACCCTAGCCGCTACTGTATACTGTACTATCAGCATAGACGCCGCGCACGTGCGCGTGAAGCAAGGAGTCGTCTTCTGGGGAAGCGGCGGCATCGTGACTGCTGTAGTACCGCGATACCACGTGCACACGCAGCATCACCCGGCCAGACCACGCGTGCGTATTTCATCAACCATATCACGCTAAATCAGAGCTCACACATACATGTACCACAGAGCATTTCCGACACAGAGAGTATTTTCGCCGTTTAGGAGGTAGGTCCAATCCGTGGTCCGTCACACAGAAGGGTTAGGGTTCCTCTCCCTGAGGCTTCCTACCCACCCCAATCTTCCTGCGCTGATTGCCTTCCATTTTAACGCGATGAGAGTTCCCCCCGTAGTGTATGTACACAAGGGACGAACCAGCGCTTTCCGCTACAAGGACCGGAAGCGAGAGAAAAAAACTCACTTTGCAAGAAGAAAAAAAACTCGCTTACCCCGGGATTCGAACCCCTGACTTTGGCCACTAGAAGGTTGCGAGGATACCATACCAACTATAGAGGCCACCGCATGTACGCAGAATATCAAATCGTCAAACCCGGTAAAACATACCGCGGCGGTATCATCGGGGACGACGCTTTCCTCCAGCACAATCTCGTGGAGGCTGCGGCATCGCCAGAGGGCCTTGGCTAGGGCCTTGGCTCCCGTAAGGGAGAGCTGGTTGCTCGAGATGTCGAGGGTCTGGATGCCTGTCATGGTCGCTACCGCCTTGCAGGCCTGCGCGTCATATCATCATTCGCGGGAGATGATAGATGATACGAACGGGAGAGAGGGAGAGAGGGAGGGAACAAGGGAGAGGGAGAGAGCGAGAGAGAGGGGGGGGGGGGGGGGG